TATCACCCCCCAACACCAACACCATCAGCTCTTTATGTTTAGTAACCATTTATGCAGCAGTTTTTAGTGCTGGGGTTTCAACTTTTCACAATTTATATAAGTGAATTGGATCAAGGGGCAAAACATATAGTTGATAAATTTGCTGATGACTCAGACGCAGTTAGGAAAGTAAATGTGAACAGGATGTGAGATTACAAGGCAATATAGATAGGTTAAGTGAGTGAGCAAAGATCCTGCAAATGAAATAAACTGTGGGAAAATGTGAAATTGACCATTTTGGCAGGTAAAATAAGAAAGTATACATTAACGGTGAGAGATTGCAGAGCTTTGATAAACAGAATATCTGAGACTCATAGTGAATATACTGTCAGTACGCAGGTACAGCAAGGAATTACAAAAGCTAGTACAATGCTATTACTTATTGAAGATAATTGATTACAGAAATATAAGTTTAAGTCACAGTTACATTGGGCATTTGTGCAATCATATTTGGAGTACTGTGTACAGTATTGCTCATCTTATTTAGGAAGATTGTGAAGCAATTCACGGAAGGTTTACTAGACTAATATCTGGAATGGCAAGGTGAGATAAGCTGAGTTTGTAGCTGCTGGAGTTTACTTGATTAAAACAAAAAGGATCCTTGGGTTTTGACAGAGTGACTGTGAAAAGGATGGAGAGAATCTCTAACTAGGGTTCAGTGATTCAGAGATGAGGAGAAATTCTTTCTCACAGAGGCAGTGAAGTCAGAGTCCTTGAATAGTTTTAAGGCAGAAGTAGATAGATTCATGATAAGAAAGACCACGAAGAGTTATTGGGAATAGGTAGCCAGTTGGAGTAATCAGATCATCTGTGATCTTTTTGAATGGGAGTACAGGCTTGAGGTGATCTACTTCTAGATCTACCTAACATGTTTGTATGTTTCCAAATGTCTTTTGGAAATTCTAAACTACTAGGTCGACTGGTTCCCCTTTACCCATTCTACTTTTTACATCCTCAAAGGATGCTAATAAAATGATCAATGGTGTTGTTTTCAAAAAATCATGTTGACTGTTCTTATTGCAACATGTTTTCTAAATGTCCTACCCCTACTTCTTCAATGATAGAATCTAGCATTTTCTAAATGACAGACCTTATGTTAATTAGCTTATAGTTCTTTGCTTTCTGTCTGCCTCCTTTCTTGAACTGTTCTTGAAGACTAGCCAAACTGCTAGAGACAGGCAGTGAGAGTTCTCAGAGTGGTTGTAAGCTGTGACAGTATTACACTTTCCCTACACCTAGGTCCTGGTATAAGAAAACAAGAGTGAAGCTCATTGTAATGTTGCTATAATTGATAACGTAAAATGGAATTTGATCAATCCCTTAACTAACTGTGGCTATCTTGTGAGATCACTGAACCTCTCCTGCATTGGATTTTAGTTCTTATTTTGCAGGAAGTTGTTTTGCACTTCTTTCACACAGCCTGAACAAGCCTATTATTACCACTTTCAGTCCAAGAGTAGACGCCCTGTAGCCCTTACTTCAGCCGATAAAATTTCCATAAATGTAACAAAAAAATGGGAGGCTGTCCTTTTAATACTGTACCTGGCCACTTCTTTCTCACTTCTATCAGTCCCATGCAGCTATTGCTGTTTCAGACACTTTTTCAACTTGTGGCTCTAACTGTCCAAAGAATGAAGTCCCCCTTTAATTAAGAGACAACAAAGTGTGGAGCTGGAGGCAGGCCAGGCAGCATCAGAGGAACAGGAAAGCTGACGTTTCGGGTCGGGACCCTTCTTCAGAAATGGGGAGGGGGAGGGGGAAGGGAGCTCTGAAATAGAGAGAGGAGGGATGGGGCTGGGGAAGGTCGGTGGGATGGTGATAGGTGAGTGCAGGTAGGGAGTGGTGGGGATTGGTCAGTGGGATGGGTGGGACAGATAGGTGGGAGAGAAGATGGACAGGTTGTGTCAGGTCAAGGAACCGGGGATGAGCGGGAGGGTTGGTCATAGGATGAGGCCAGGGGGTGGGGAGATTTTGAAACTAGTAAAATCCAAGTTTAGGCCATCAGGCTGTTGTTTCCCAAGGTGGAATATGAGGTGTTGTTCCTCTAGTTTCCGGGTGGCGTTGTTGTGAAACTGGAGAAGGCCCAGAATGGACATGTCGTCCAGGGAGTGGGAGGGCACCTTTCCCTGCAACCACAGGAAGTGCTGCACCTGCCCCCACACCTACCCCCTCACCTTCATTCATGGCACTAAGCAAACCTTCGACATCAGACAGAGGTTCACCTGCACATTTGTCAACTTGGTCTGCTATATCCGCTGCTCCTGTTGTGGACTCCTCTACATCGGTGAAACCAAGCAGAGACATGGAGTCCACTTTGTAGAGCATCTGGGCTCTGTACGAACAAACAACACCTTCCGGTCGCAAAACATTTTAACTCCCCCTCCCACTCCCACTCCTTGGGTGACATGTCCGTCCTGGGCCTCCTCCAGTGTTACAACGATGCCACCCGCAAACTGGAGGAGCAACACCTCATATTCTGCCTTGGGAGCCTACAGCCCGATGGCCTAAACGCGGATTTTACCAGTTTGAAAATCTCCCCACCACCACCGCTCCCCCCGCAACCCACGACCTCATTCCCATGTCCAACCCTCCCTCTCATCCCTGCCTCCTTGACCTGACATAACCTGCCCATCATCTCTCCCACCTATTCGCTCCCCCCACCTCACTGACCAATCCTGACAACTACCGAAAAGCACTTACGTATCACTGTCCCACCTACCTTTCCCAGCCCCACTCCTCCTCTATTTATTTCTGATCTCCTCTCCCCCTCCCCATTTCTGAAGAAGGGTCCCGACCTGAAACCCGAGCTTTCCTGCTCCTCTGAAGCTGCCTGGCCTGCTGTGTTCCTCCAGCTCCGCACTTTGTTTTCTCTGACTCCAGCATCTGCAGTTCTTGCTATCTCCCCCTTTAATTAGCTGTGGCATTTTAAATACAAGTACACTCAACCTTTTCGCTTTCCAAACAGTTCCCTCCTTCTGCAGTGACAATATCTCCTAACTTATAACTGTGATTATACTTCAAAGTCCATCCTTAGTTGTAAATCGCTTTGGAACTTCTGAGGTGGTGAAAGGTGCTTTACAATTTCACGTCATTCTTTCACTTACCCAATAGTAACTTACTGTTCCTAACCCACAGGAACAATAAGTTATAAGAAGTCCTGTGCTGCTACTAGCTTATCAATAGGGAGTAAATTCAGTCCATAATAGCTCCACAGTCTGTGTCTGGCTAATTACTCAGAGAGAGAACAACTTAAAGCTGATGTTGTGAACTTGATGAACACATTTTTAGGATACATGGACTGTGTGTTCAACCAGATTTATCTTTTGAAAACCTGTAAGCATTTGCCCTGTGAATAGCAATAGGAGCTGAACTTCACATTTTCATGAAACGTCAGCTTTTGTAAGAACTGATATGTTGCCTGTACTGGGTTAGCTATTCATCCTTGCTGTAGTAAGGGTGTACCACCAGTCTTTATAGAGATTGTCTGAGTTTTATTTCAGTGATTTCAGTGGATGGATGGTTCACTCCCCCAGAATACCACACATACCAGTGAAAAATAAAATCTGTGCCATTGTTTCCAATTGCTGTTGTTAACAACTAAGTTTTTGCTGGAGAGGTTTTGGGTCAAAATTGTTTTTTTAATTATACAGTTAGCCATTGTCTGTAGATTTAACAAGTATAGTCATGAATATCTACAATAAAATAACACTCTACAGGTCTGTATTGAGATTTAGCTTAATGGCGGCACTTCCACCTCTGAGTCAGATGCTAGTAGGTTCAAGTCCTCTCGAGAGACTTGTGCATTTAATGTAGGTCGCCACTTATGTGCAATACTGGAGGTGTTAAATGTTTTAGAGAAAACATTATACTAATGCCTCGTATGCCCTCTCAGGTAGTAATAGAGAGCCCTATCTGTAGAAATATTCTCAACCTTTATCTCCCAATGAACCCTTAAAATAAGTGCTCTGGCAGTTTATTTTGTTATTATCTGTAGGACTAAGCTGGACACAAATTGCCACGATTCCTATTATTGCAACAGTGATGACACTTCAAACGTAGCTGATTGGCTGTAAAATATTTTTGGAATGCCCTACACTTGTCAAGGTGCTAGTGAAATAGAAAGAAGCAGCTTTTCTTTTCAAAGGAACAACTTGCTAATTAAACCAAAGAAATAATCCATCTTTTGTTTTCCTTTGGATCAAAGATATAATCTGAACTTGAATAAATAAATCAAGCAGTTCAAGCTTTTTTTCTGCAAGTGCTAAAAAGCAAAGAGATATAGGTTACACATTGTTTACTTCTGTGTGCTGTTTTCTCACATCTTCATTGCCAGGCCAACCAATCATTTATGTGCTGAATCTTCCACTATTGCTTTCTGGCAAGAGTGCTGCCCAAGGTTACACATTGTTCCAATGATGGATGGAGGAAAAGATTACACAGACAACACTAAAAAATG